GACCCTGTGGTATTTATCCAAAAGCTCACTGGAACACTTTGTCATTACTTTGCTTCCTCAGGAATCTTCCCACTGAGCCAAATAAATTTATAAAATCATTTCTATCACTTAGTATATTTTTCTTTCTCATAGAAATGGTTATAAATGAACATGATCACTGTAATAATGCCAAAAGTTAGTCAGCCTTCCCAGCCTAGACAAAGAAATCCAGCCAGATTTAGTGTAATCTCAAATGGACTTGAAGTCCATGTAAATTTAATTTTACATTTTCTTCTTGTTTCTTTCACATTTTTCTTCATTTCTTTTCAAAATTAACATGAGACTGAAAGAGGAAAAAGGCTCTTCCTCTCCAAAATCAGTAATTTTCTTTGTTGTATATAATTTCCATTAACAAACAAATCAGAAATCTCCCTAACACATTGGAACTAAGATAAAAATGAAAGGTTTTCTTTGCCATTTTTCATAATCATTGCTATTTTTTCACCCAGTTCCAATGATTTTATGAAATACTGTCAGGGCAGGCCCAAGACAGGAGACAAGAACACAGGCTCTGGAGGCTTTAACAGACAAATATCCAAAGAGGCTGATCTCTGTTTGCTGACAAGTTTTACTGCCTCTCCTCACAGGGACTACAGACATAATATTGACAAAACCACCTCTGAACAGATACAAACAATAACTCTGAAAAACACCAAATACTGGGGCTGTGCATGCTGATACCAGAAATGGAAGAACATAACAAAAAGGCCACTTTCACTGGATCTGCCCGATTTCTGGGTTTCAAAGATGAATCTTAAAGGTCTACTTGGAATGGATTGACCTCTAATACTCCCATAACATATAACATGGGTATTATTAACATATTTTTCCACTGGTGGAATTCATTTTTCCCCAGTAGGATTTCAGCTGTATTTCCAGCCTGTGGCTTGCACAGCTCGTGGCAGGGCTCCTGCACTCACTCTGCACCCCATCATTTGGCTCTGCCCGTGCATGGTGTGCTGTCTTCGGGGGGGGTTACCCCACAGAGGACAGGTCGGGGAAACCCTCCTGCTGCCAGGACCCCCTGATTCCCCAAAGGCTCTGGAGGAAGGCAGAGCTCAGGAAGGAGCTGGCAGAAGCACCTTCACTTTGTTTTCTCACTCGAGCTGTGCGAGGCACAAGCTGCCCGTGTGATGGCACCACTGGAACACGCTTCTCCCCCTCCAAATCCTGCCGTGGAACTTCTGTCTTAACTAGCACCAGCTTCTGAGTATTTCCAGCACGAATTTTGCAGAATAAAAGAACAAGAACACAAAAGCTTGTGGGGGGACAGACCGAGGAGCTGGGGCTGCAGAGGAGCAAACTGCCCACGGGGAGCCTGGCACAGCAGCTCATTGCTGGGACTTCAATCACACACCAGTGGAGGGAAGCCAGAGCCCCAACAACCAACAGACTGCAAAGGGAGGGTGCCTGGATCCATGCAGCATGCCAACACAAAGCCCAAAAGCACGAGAGGCACACCAGTGAGGGGCAGGTGAGGCACCCACCGATGAGTGCAGCTCATGAATCGAGAGAGCTCATAAATCATTGTGCCCAGAAGCCCAAACAATAGAGCAGCAGAGGGAAGACAGACAGACAACGGCGTGCCAACAGACAGGAGTGGATCCCATGTGGCACAGCCATGAGGTAAACGGAGCAGCTATGATGTGTCAGCCCTCACAAACTGCCTTCTGCTGGAAACCATTGGGTTCAGTCACAGGTCACAGGTGTCACAGCTTCTGGACAAGCAAAAAAAGGATTTTTTCCTTTCTCCAGTTGTGTAGAAAGAAGAGCTGGGGAGAGGCAGCCCACAGGAAAAGAATCTCCGAACATAGCAGTGAGAGGGAAGTTGTGCCTCCAGTAATCCTGAGGGCAGCAAAATGCTGCAGGGAATGAGGAGGTGTTTCTGCCCTAGTACACTTAGGGGGCAGCTGGTTGTGGGGAGTTGTGTGTGAACATCTGTGTGCCTTCAGCACTGTGGTTTGTCATCTTTGGAAACAACTGGTGTGGCCAAATTCACCACGCTGCTCCAGATCCCAGCCCAGCACGACCTGGCTGCACAGATCCAGCTGCACCAGGACTGATGTGAGCCTGTCCCCTCTCCCTTGCTGTATGTAAACAGCTCTGCCTGTGTCAGCATTTCTCTCAGAGAAGTTTTTCCTGGTTCAATGAAGGCAGATGGGTTCTGGCAATCAGCAGTTCTCCTTTCCAATGCCAGTCAGTCCCTTTTCAGGTCATTATGCTTTAAAATAGCCCAGAGCTCCCTATTAACTCACTGAGGCAGGGATGGCCAGGTTCAACTGAGTAACATTGCTGTGGATAACAACAACTGGGAAGCACTGGTCCCAGTTGCAGAAAACCAGGGCAGAGGGGCTGGTGGTTGCTTTTGTCTGCACTTTGCTCCTTCTCCAAAACCTCTGTCCCTGCCACCCCCACCGTGGCTGGAGGCTGTGGTACCATGTGCTCCCTTCACCCATCTCCCGGCGCTGCAGCGGCTGCTCCCCAGACCAGCTCCCTGCTCTGCTTCCACAGGCATCACCCCCCTGCCCCGGGGGTTGGGTTCTGTCAGCCACTCACCTGGGACCCAACCCTGCACCAGCAAAGCCATCCCCAACCAGCGGGGCACTTGGCACCACTGCACCATCGTGAATGCCAGTCCTCAGGGCACAGCTTGGGATCTGCTGCCAGAGCTGGAAAAAAACACCTGGAAGGGGTCAGAGGAGAAGCACTCCAGCAACACCAGCAGGGAGGGCAGGCTGGGCTCTGCCCTCACCCGTGGCCGAAGGTGCTGGGTTAACAATTAGCAGCTGCTGGAGAGCTCTGACAGTCCCACGGGCAATGTTTGCTGGAGATAACCCCACGGAACCACACTTCCATGGCAAACACAGGGCACGCTCCCCACCCTCTGTTATCACACTGCACTTGGGATTCCTGGGCAAATGGCTTTATGACAGTAAGGAAGAATGCTTTCCACATCTCATCTTTCAGCAAAAGCACAGCTCCTGCAGCCCACACAGCAAAGGCAGTACTCCTCAGGGAAAGGGCAGCAGGACTGAGCAATACAGGGGCAGAGAAACACAGAAAAATTTGGACCAAGAAGATAAAAGCCTCCTTGGAAATCACCCATGCTTTGGTGTGCCTGCAGATCCCAGCAGCTGTACTTTGGATTCTCTCTCTCTCTTAAGGGTTTATCTGGAGTAACAAACAGCAGTAATGTGGAGATTGGCTTCTAGGGAAAAGCAGTATTATTTATTGGGTTTGCTTCTCTGCCATGAGACTGATCTCACTGCAATCCTGTGCTGTGGTGCTAAGCTGAGAAAGTGAGATAAACATGAGTGACCCAAGCTCCTTCTGCTGCAGCCCTGTCCTGGACACTCCTGAGCTTTTTACTCAAAGCTAAAGACTCAAACAGCCCGTGTCTGCTCTGCAGCCAGCCCCAAAATGGAAAGGTCAGGAGCAACACAAACTCTGTGCTGATAGACCAGAAGATCCAAGAGCACAGAGCCACACTCCCAGGCAGGGGAAACCAGCCCAGCTTTTGGTTGCCAGCTGGGGGAAGAGATGGGTCGATGGGAGGTGTAAACCTAAATCAGAGCATTGAACACTTCACTCCTCATGCTGCCTGGAAGTGCTGTGCTCATCCTGC